ATTCCTGTCGGGGTGAAGAACACGTCACGTTTTGGAATGACTTTTTTTAGGATGGATTTCAAGATTTTTGAAAATTTTCTTTTCAATATTTTTAAGAAAAATAATTTTTTATGGATCGTTATTTCTTTGAAAAAATTTTCTTAATTGTGTAAGTTACTATACATCATTTTCTTAATTTTGTTTGGTCACAAGACAATTTTTATCAAAACATTTTTATCAAACTATTCATCTGTTAAACAATGATGACAAAACGTTAGAATATTTATATTATCCTTATCGACGTGAAACCTTTCCAAGCAAAATTATGACCTCAGTAAATATTCCAATTTTTGTCACTGAATGAGTGAATCCTATTGCAAAATTTAAACCATTTAGTGTTTAATGAATTTTTAATAATTTTTTAAAAATTATCCCTAATTACTTAACTTTATCACGTTAAACTACACATGTTTTGAAAAAAAACATTTAAACGCCAAAACTATGTAAACCGTAAAATTATAAGTCATACACTTTATTACAAATAATAATTCAAAAATATCAAACATACATATTTACGACATAACTTTAACAGTAAACCATTAGTAAAAAAAATGTCTCCATTGGTAACAAAATATTCCCCACACGAAATATTTTAAAACAATCATCACAACAATTTTAATAAGACGAATGTCATCATCATTATTAAAATACATATAGTCAGATCTACCCATTTTGTTTTATTAACTACTTTCCCCCTCCCAGAGGCAGTTCTCGCCCTCCTCGTAAAACCATTAACCTTTTGTTACGTACAACTTAATTTGAAATAATAATAAATTAATGTTTAAGTGAATTTAGTCATAGATACATCATTATTATTACCCATGAAGGTAATAATTTTAACAGAAACATGACACTCTGGGGTTACTAAAGGTCGTCTGTAATAAAAAGGAAAAACAAGATCATGAAAATTTTACAAGGTCCACCCTATAACATTTTAAAGTCAAAGTTATACCCAATTTTTATGAGAATTTTACACAAAAGGAAAATCAATGCAAGAATCGAGATCAAGTTTTTTGAATCAGATACATCATCACGTCACGTCTTGCGGTTAGTGATCTAGATATGTCGCTAGATAAATATCGATCACTAATAAAAAGCCGTGTATTATCGATTACTTTACTTTGTATGAGAAAATTGATGGTCGTTTCATTTTAGAAAATGATCTCACTAACTAACTGAGCGAGATTGTTGTTGGGGTATAATCGCTATATTTTTTTGGAAGGCTGTATATTTTATTTGGGTACAATTTTTATGTAACTTTCTATACACTAAATTGTACAGTAATGTAATAATAATGACGATACTTTGGAATTAATTTCTAGCTTAGTTTCCCTTTCGTTTGGCAAGATGCTTTATAAAAGTAATTGGAAGATGTGAAGCGTAAGGTGAGACTATTACATGAGAAGCCAGGAAGCCGGCTCATAACGCGTAATATTCTTGTCAGACTTGTTTTTGTTGAGTTTTGCTATCTAGCCATGCAAAGGTGTGCGGTGTCATTTTTTTAGTCCAATTTTGTCACCAATGACAGCGGAATTTTAAGGGACAAAGCAATAACGAATTGTTAGAAATCGGGTAACGATTATAACCAGAATGTTGTATGATGTAGTATACTGTAATGTTTTTTCGACTATTATACCATGGTTATAGATTTGTTATCGAATATTTATAATTAATTAATTGATTACTAATCGATAATAATAAAAATATATTATCGACTTCTCATAAATTATAGATAGTCGGTAATAAATTTATACCCGTCAAAGTATAAGGCTTAATTTATATATGTAATTAAGGAGAACGCAAATACTTTAAATTTACCGCAATACCCCCGTCTCTGGCGGGGCCACTGTTTGCTATCGTAAGACAGTTGGAATTCGTCTCATTCTGCCCACCGAGATAATAATTATGATAAAAAGTAATTTTATTTAAATAGTTGATTTTATTAGGTTTCATACAATACTTATTTACTTTAAAAAATACTTGATTCAATTGCGTGTCTGGGTTCAATATGTTTTCGAATTTATTAACATTAATTTGTAGCATGGTAAAGCAGATAAATTACAAAATTTGTTTAAACAAATATGAAAATTTATTAGAGAAAAAAATAGAGAAATTAGTTATGTTTGGCTAGTTAACAATGAATGCAAATTTTGTTGTATGTATGATCAAGTAAATTTTATTGATTGATTACATATTTTCTCTGTGTGCGGTTTTGTTTGACTTTCTGACTGATTTAATTGGATGATTGGAAGAAATTTGGTAATGCCGGTGTATAAAATATTTTGTTAAATTCAATTAGCGCAGAAATTCCACGTATTTCTAAGCCACGCATTTTTTCTTTGGTGGCGCTATCATCTTCGTAAATTTTCAAATTAGTCGCGAATATTGTCCCCATGGTTTCCACATTCACTGAATTATTAATCTAATCAAAAGAAATATAAGGATAGAAGAAATACAAAATTATTGATTTTGCACAAGTTTGCGGTCGAAATTAAATAACTGCAGAAATTGTGTAATATTTAGGTAGTTAGGTCGCTTGTGTGTAAATCGTTATATGAAAAGTTCTTACATCACGTTGTAAAGCTTTTTAGTGAAAATAATATATTTTCTCACATCTCAGCTATAGTTAAGTAATATTAAATTAGCTTTACGGTGTGGAAGTTATAAAATTTTTTGAGGTCAAAGGTCAATATTTCGAAAACGAATAACCAGAGAATCAATAATTAACTGGCTTAACTAACTTATCATGTGCTTCATATTTGTAACGGTTTCAGATTGATTTGCGAGTCTCCATACCGCGGCCCCTCCTCATAAAAAAGACGATGTGAATTTAACCCAAAACGACTTGATTGGCTACAAATTTATTTTATTTTTACTCATCCACAATAAGTTCCATACATACATACATGGGTGGATCTTATACATATAAATCCGAACTTGTTTTTTTAACTCATTTATGTTCTTTTTTCCCTTCTGAATCTATTTTAATTTTTACCACGTGGGGTATTTTTAGTATATAAATTTTGTCTAAAAAAGCGATACACCTACTTAAAAAACAATGGAAGTTTATCATGTCGAGGCAGATAAATATACAGAAAAAAATAATGCTGATATATTTCAAAATTGTGCATATTTTCGACCGAAAGGAAAAAATGCTAAATCTTTACTTTGTGAATGTGTCACAGATCAAGAACTGGTGTGGAAAATGATTTTTTTTAATATTAAAAAATAGGAATCTAACCGGAATTGATACATATAGCAGTGATTCATGAGTTATTTCGCTTATTGATAAGTTATTGATTAGTCATATTAAAAAACTTCGAGTAAAAAAATCAAAGTTTGACTTTTTTTGATAGATTTACGTCTCCTTTTCCCCTTATCGAAATACATATATCAAGACCACATGGGGTATTTTCAGTAAATAAATCTTGCCTGAAATTACGAGACGATACACATATTTGAAAAAGAAACAATAGAATATTATATATATTTAGAAGAAGTAAATAAAAAATATACCCACGCCACCTCAAACCCTTGCAACAATAATAATGCGTCTCTGTCTAGTTTGGTCACTAACTCACTTGGTCTCCGCAATGCTCTCACTTTCTTTGAAACTAAATAAAAAACTCAAATGTATAAACTTCACATTGTTTTAGGGACCGGTGGAAAGAATGGGATAATTTTTAAAAAAAATTTGTATCACTTAATTTTTTGAAAGGGTTAAACGTTAAATTATATTTTGCCTGGAATATCCTTTGAGATTAGTGGTTGAGATGATATCCTTGTTTTTTTCGATTTTTTTCGATTTATTTTCAATTCTTATGATGTGGTCAGATAAGTAAACGAAATAATTTGTAGTTTGAAATAGTTTTTATGTTCATTGCTCCGTAAATGTTCAAAAATGCCTTAACTGTACGTGTTGACAAAGATCTTTGTTTCGAACTTCCGGTCATCTTCAGAACACGAGAGAAATAGAAAATTCTAACATGTTGTCGGAGAGAGCGTCAAACACAGACAGAGACGACAAAATTGAAACCCACAACAAATTTTCGTGATTATTTTTCATGGTGGCCACGGAGTGTTGCCTTCTCTGAAAAACTTCGAAATTTGTTTTGAAAAATGATAAAAATCTGGAAATGTTGGTAGAAAACTAACCGTTTTCTCGCCCGATTGTAGTTCTTTTCATACATATAAATAAATCGCTTGCTACTACACCTGGTAGCAAACTATTTCCCCTTGTTTGACAATGATCTACTTACAAATTTCTAAAAATAGTAACAATAATCTACAGAAAATTTTAAATTTTACCATATTATTTCACCATGCGGTCTCCTCAATAGTAACAAATTTGAATTTCCAGCAAACTTTTTGCTATCAATATACTTATCAGATGGTACATGTACAATTTTTGAACCCATATATGGGTTCAAAAATTGTAACTACAGATAAGCCGGTAAAACATCATGTGTAACACCAAAATAATTTTCACAATTATGAAAAAATACTACCTAAAATATACATCATTTCTCCCTGTCCCCTTATTTACTAGAGACGATCCATTAAATCAACTCTCCTCACTAAACCAACTTCTACTCTACCTCCGCGGTTAAGGTGAAGGTAGTCGAGTCAAGTTAGCAACCTATGTAAGACGGAAGTTGCAGCAGGTCTGTGGGTTATCGTGTCTCATAATCTCCTCATCCTTATCTTTAGAAAATCTCACCTTGTTTGTTCCCCCACTTTGTTTTCTCAAATTCTCTCCTGTAAGGCAATCCTTGATTTGGTTTAGTCATGTCATATCGAATGCGAATATTCGTAGTAGTGGCTGCTGCGAATTATATATTTTTTGCACAAAGGGGTGACGAGGAGATTATTATTTAACTCTTTTTTTGAATTCTTACATGTTTTCACTATTTGTGTGAACGTAATGCAAAACTATTTACTAAGGGTTAGTTGGCCTTCACTAGTGGGGGAAGTAGGTGCTTATCAGAGTGTGTTATAGTAGCCGGTTGATAAGTGAAATTGTGAGTGACTGGATTTTTTTGGGGGTAAAATAATAACGGTTGGAAATTCCTTGGAATTTATGACCCAAGTTTTTTTCACAAATTTTTACCAAAATTACAATTTTTTAAGAAATACCTAAAAGTTTCTTGTTGCAATTCTGGAATCAATTAATCTAACTTATAAAGTGGACTCCGATTTGTGCAAAATTTCTGAAACGATATGAAATATGTGCAAATCTCAAATACAATAATTTCTGCTGTAAAAAAATAAATTAAAGTGAATCTAAAATAATGGGTGTCTTACTGCAAAACGTGCGCCAAGGACTGAACCTCTTATTTACGCCGGTGCTCTATTACGGCGTCATGGCCAGTGTCGCGTTACAATTGGCAACCTGGGAAAAAGGGGACAGAACGCAGGACAAGTTTCAAGACCAGTATCAAAATCAGGGCGACAAGTTCGACTTTATTATAGGTGGGTGTGATGTTAGGGTGATAACCACTTATCCGACAAAATAATGAATGCGATTCATTACAAATTTGCTAAACAAAGTTCACAATTTTTTATACAGCAAAATATTTTTATTCGCGAATTTTAAATTTTGGAACAAATATGTCATCCTAAATTTTTTCCAAATTATGCAAAGTCGAAATTAGTACCCGTAAATCTCAAGATTGGAAAAGTGTCTCATTTTACCTCGTGTTTATTTCGTCCGGCTCAAATTTACATATTTATTTCTATACGGATTGATAAGAGCTTATCATTTTAAGTCTTGCTTATCAAATCGGTTATCTGATTCTCATAGCGTTTTATTATTTTTCCAACATAATCTGCGAAAACCATTATAAGTACATGTCTCACTTTACCAGTCAGATAAGTAGTTTGTTAATTTATTTCTTCACATGTGCTTATCATTCGACTACTAACAGTACATAATTAATTCATGCCCTGACTTATCTACTCATCTCGATTTGTATTCCAAGCTTGAATGATAACCACTTGCTTGGAGAAAAAACAAAATCTCATTTTTCTTATTTAAACATATCATTTTGATAAATGGTTATCATCTAAATATTTTATCACGTCCCTCCATATATCCTCAACTTATCTAAATTTCTCTCCATCTTATCAATTTTTAGTCGGTGGCGGAACAGCAGGAAGTGTTTTGGCAAATCGATTATCTCAACAGTACAACATTCTTCTCCTCGAAGCAGGCGGGGAACCAAGTCCGCTCCAATTTGTGCCAGGATTTGCACGTGCAATTGTCAACCACCCACAGGTGCATTTTACCATTGTTCTTAATTATTTTTTAACATATTAATTAACTACGAGATTAATCAGTTTAATCATTGAATTACTCCCATTCGACAATAATTGTCGTAAAAATGGTTACAATTTCAAATAAAAATTCCAAAATCAAAATTGAAGAAAGTAAAATATTTAACAAATTATTCAGATAAAGTTGTCTAATTTTCTTTTCTTGTAAATTCCTTATTAAAATGTAATTATTTATGCAGTTACTCTTCAATAATTGTCAAAAAATAGTATAATTTCAAACATTTTTTTATAAAACTTGGCACACCTCACAATCTAAAAATTGCATCAAATTTTTCTATGTATTTCTTTTCCCAAAATATTTGAAAAGTTTACAACACCGAATCCGAATAGGAATCAGAAACCAACAAAGTATCTTCGTCTTCCTAATCTAATTTAAATCGTATCAAAATTATATTCCGGCGTCTAATTTTAACTTTACAATTTCCTTCTTTTAAAAACAAGGTATTTTTCAAAAAGAAATTCAATTTTGTATTACAATATTTTATGTTTGTTATTCCCAGGTTGACTGGAGCTATATGACTGTCGCACAAAAAAAGGCGTGCGCCTTCTCACCGCTACGCGTAAGAGGAAATTAATTTTATAAGAAAAATTTTACGAAAGTATGAGAATATCAAAAAACTAATCAGGATTTCACTTCAAATTAAAAAATTACTTAATTCCATTATTGCAAACTAATGTACATAACAATTATTTATGTATTTTGTAAAGTTTGCAAATTTTGATAAAATTTCATCAAATTTTTACTCCGAAGCCATTTATATTTTTAATTACTTCTGCAAATATAATTTCCTAATAGATAAATACGCTAGCTCAATTATTTTTGCACGTTATACATACATATGTCAGAGAATTAAAAAGACTTGAATTTTTTAGATTAATTTTTAGATTAATTTGTGAAAAATGCTTTACTTCAATAAATTACATAAAGACAAAACACAGAAAATCTTTTGGAAAATTTATAAAATAAATAATGCGAAAATAAACGAGTGTAAAATATATTCTTATACAGAGATCAACCTGGTCTTCCGGTCGTACCCTGGGTGGGAGTGGGTCACTTGATTTCTTAACTTATTTACGCGGAAATCCAGAAGATTTCAATAATTGGGGGAGAATTACGGGCGACCCATCCTGGAAATATGACAATCTTTTGAAACATTTCCAGAAAGCGGAGGACCTCGTGGCAAATTCGACAGATCGTGAGTACTTACTAATGTTAAAATAAAATCTAAGCGTTTTTGAATATAGATAAATTAAACTTGATAGATAATTTATGGCGATAGAGATACTTTAAATTTACTCAATACTTTAGGCACGTATTCTCACAATAAAATATTTGGCGAGAATTATTTGTACAAAATTAGAAAAAACAGTAATTATTTTAAAATTAGACTGTTCAATTAATCATTTTTAATCTCAATTACGTCGTCAGACAGCAGGATCTAATCTTAAATATTTATAGTCATTTTCCACTTTTCCAAATATTGGCATCAAACTTAAGAAAAAAATATTACCAGTGAAATTTTTTCTTTATTGCTGCCGATGTAACCATTGCCAAATATGGAATAAGTGACGCTGGATTCAAATTTAATTTCACCCCGCTTGCAATGTTTATCTTATGGACACGTGATGTTGTTGCGAAAAAAGCCTCCGGCCAGTTATTATTTACGAAGCAATAATTTGTCGTTAATATTTGTTATTTAAGATATAACAAATTCAAATGTTCCAAGTTTAATTTTTTCCCAAATTGGTGTAAATTCAGGTATTTGTATAGTTTAATTGGTGTATTTGTTGAGCAATTTGGCACCTTAGCAGCACTTATCTATGATGGTGTCTAGTGTCTATAATCTTATTTATAATGTAGCGATACCGGCATTCCAAATTTTGCACTTTTGGCGTTTTATGTACAAATATTTTGTAATTGTAAAACTTTTATAACAAGTTGCTTTACAAGATATATATGTATGTATATATTAATTTTAATATGGCATTTTTGTTTAACGCGTAGTAGCACTGATAAATCTATGGTTTACGGAAGTTTGAAATTTTACTCCATTAGAATAGCGTGAATTTGATGGAAATATATATTACCATACATGAGATCTCAAAAAATTCTCTTCGAACTAGTATTAAATATATTACAACATTTTCACATTAAAACTTAATCGTAAACCTTTCCTTGTAATTTAAATTAGCCGGCGCTCACCGACACGGTGGAACACTCCGGATCCAGAAATCGGACTATCTACCTCTCGGAAAACAATTTTTATCTGCGGCGGAGGAACTTGGATATTAAAGTGTGGATTTGAACGGGCATTTTACCGAAGGTTTGAAAATTAGTAGCTCTTGTCATCTAATTTTATAAACTGTACAAAAAAACCTAACGTTTCTTTTTTATTCAAGGTTTCGACTATGTGTACTCAACAATTAAAAAGGGAGAACGACAAGCACCTCTGAAAGCGTTTCTGGATCCGGTCGGGAAACGAAAGTCGTTGACCATTCGGAAATTCGCGGTTGTTTCGAAGGCAAGAAATTCAAAAAGTCGTGATCGGTTTAAAAATTCTAATAATTCCCATAAACTATTTCACCCAATATTTTTTAACAATTTGCAAAAACAGCGTGTCACACTGCCTTGATTGCAGATTATTTGGAACCCCAAAAATTTATGAATTTGAATTTTTTTGCGCTAAAAATATTTGAATTTTTATTACTGATTTCGTTAAAATGATTTTTAATAATTAACACGAATTAGTATCCGGCTCCGTAAGCTTTTGCAATGGCAGGTATCCCAGTCTGAGCTATGAAACAATTTTAATAATTTTTCAGATCAAATTTCGCGCCGACAACACCGCCTATGGTGTCGAGTATGAACGCCATGGAGAAAAGCACTTGGTGTATGCGAACCGTGAAGTCATTTTGTCCGCGGGATCGGTCGGTTCTCCGAAAATTTTAATGTTGTCAGGAATAGGACCGAAAAGACATTTAGAAGAATTTGGGGTAAGGACTTTCACTTTTCAAGTGGGGTAAATGGTTAGAAAATGTGCTAAATTATCTAAGCGGAAATTGAGATGAAAAATCCTAAAATTTACAAAATTTGTACATTAAAACTAACGTAAGCCGAGCAAAGGCTTATAATATCGGAAAATCTGCAACTAACTTGAATAACTTGACCCAACTAGCTACAGAATTTACGAAAAGTAATTTAATATAATTTGCAACTTTTTATTGCAAGACTAAAATTCCAGGCTGAAACTATTAAAATTATTTCGCTTTGAAATGTAATATTTTATAGGTTTTCACTAACTGCTTCCCATTTCATAAACATTTCGCCCTATTTTGCAGTAACATTCCTTAATTTACGCTAATCTTAAAAAGACTTTATCGGAGTATAGAGGGCCATACATTTATTCCATTACAAAGTAATTGACTGAATACATCTTGATTGAATTTTATCTGTGACACATAATACAACTGCAAAACTAATTATCACGGCGTGGATCTTGATGCAACTTTATTATGATCCAACCATCTATAAATTTAAATACATAATATGCCTATTATAATTAGGCTAATTTGAAATGTAACAAATTCTAGTACAAGTTTTTAATTTAATTTTAGCATACTCAAAAAAGCACGTATCCAGAGAAAACTATTTTTCATGGAATTAATCTTAAATTATTTATAATGCGTGGATCATAAGCCAATTAGCAATTCGGAGTAGCTTCGACATGTTTAAGGGATTAAATAGATTTTCATTTAGCGTTTTGTCCTTACACAAGAAACAAGAAAATATGGTATTTCTACAAGTTATAGTCAGCAAGATTTTACAGATCTAATTATTTTTTAATGCAACGGAGAGAAATTTGCCCGCTGATTAATTTCAATCAAAAACTTACATTTATTTTTTTATTTTGTGTAGGTCAAACCCCTCGTGAATTTGCCGGTTGGTCAAAATTTGCAAGATCACGTGGGCACCTATCTCGGCCCCTTTTTTATCAACGAGCCCCTAACCTTTGCAAAAGATAGGGACATCACAGCCGAGAGTTATGTTGAGTATGGCGGCCAAGGGACGGGACCTCTGAGTTATACCGGTTTCACTGCAACGGGTACGTTAAAATGAAAGTTTTGAAAATTATTTCATTTCCCAAAAGTCGGAATAGTTTTAATTTGCTAAAAGTGTTTTGCAAGTTAGTGTATTTACGTAAATGTTTTTACATACCGTACGAATTATTTGATGATGTATATTTAATAGAACCAGTTATTTTGATCTTTCTGAAGAATATCTACATCTTGTTACACAATTGGTTCTGCCTATATTTTGTACAACGACGTTTAAATTTTACCATTTTTTTCCAACTGTATCATCTTTATCTGACAGTTATTATACTAAAAAGCCGAAAATTTATTATTTGATTAACAACAGGGGAACAACTTATGAGAAGGTTCCAATAATCCACAGAATTTGAGAAAGTCACAGTCAAAAAAAATCTGCAACAGGGTTTTTATGACAACGATCATATATAAAATTTACAGCTATGGAGTAAGTTAATTATCGCCTTGTTGATGGATTATTTTCAGTGCAGATAATCCATCTTTTATTGATCGAGAGTTAAAACTTTGCAAATATTTCCAGAAAATCACAGAATCTTTATTTTCTAATTTTTACAACCTATTTTCTTTCCAGGTTTGATCGCCTCATTGTACGCCAAAGGTCGCGGTGAAGCGACATGGCCTGACCTACAAATCTCACTTTTCCCCACCACTGTGGACAAATCTTTCTCTGCTGACCTGGCCCACACGCACGCCTTGAATCCCGAAACTTTGAAAAAATATTATTCTCACGCAATTGGAAAGCATTCCTTCCACGTCTGGGTCAATGTGGCCCGACCTGCGGGGCGTGGAGAAATTCGATTGGCCTCCCGCAATCCAGCCAACCCGTTGGTGATTAATCCAAAATATTTGGAGGATCCGTGGGACCTTGATGTTAAAGCGGGAGTGGATGGACTAAAGAAAGCTTTGAGATTGATTGAAGGGTAAGGATTTCCTTATGTGGCCTTCCGTAAAGAATGTTCAAAATTGGCGCTCATACAAAATTAATATTTAACCAGAATCTTACAAATTTTAATGATTTGCAACGCCTTTCAATTAGTTGGTAATTCAGGAGACTTTTACAATGATGAAATTTAACTCGTTAACTTTTAATGGTTTAAAAACTTGTAAGCAAACTATCCCAATGTATGAATTTCAGTTTTGAATTTTTCTGTGATCTAATTCAATAGTTGACGCAAATTTCTAACAATTTACAGTTTCGTTCGTTGCGTAAAATGTACAACTTCTTACGATAACAAAACATTGCTTTGATTATTTAGTATTATAAGTATGTTAGCAAGATACAGTTCAGTTAATATTTTTGATTTGGTTGCCGATAAATGATTGACATTCCAAATTGTTGTCACTGTTAAGCATCTGTGTCATTACTGTAATTAAGTCAGCTTATATATAATTATAATTCCTGGTGTTACTCAATGCATGTAACACAAAGGTATTACAGTAATTAATTTTAATTTAATTTTGATTACAAATTATTTGATATCATAATCCACTCGCCTTCTTGTGCATCTCCATAATTACTGTAATTAAGGATAAGTTTACTTATTGTTATTTTAGGCATTACAAGTACTCAATATAGTAGAAAAAATAATTGAAATGCGAAAATGTTATAGAGTTTTGCAAGCCACAAATTAACTTTTACTGTCTTTTAAATTTTATAGATCCACCACCTTCCAAAATATCGGGGGACGTTTCACCTCAGAAATCCTGCCTGGCTGCGAATCCACAAAGTTTCGTTCGGATGAGTATTTTGAATGCTATCTCCGACATTTTACCGTTTCCGCGTACAATCCTGTCGGGACATGCGCAATGGGACTGAAGGATTCACTTTTTGCCGTGGTAGATTCTAAACTTCGCGTCCTTGGCGTTACTGGCCTACGTGTCGTAGATGCTTCGATAATGCCTGCAATCGTGTCTGGAGGAACTGCCGCGCCTACCATCGCGATCGCGGAAAAGGCGGCTGATATGATTTTGTCGCACTGGAGTCATCACGTTCCACAAGAATTGGACGATATTTTAAACGCTGAGGTCACCAGCTTAGCTCAAGGAGGTCAACAGCAAAACCATATATTTAATTCTATCGCCGACTCTGGAACAGCACAGTCAGAAAACGTGGCAAAATTGGAGAAACCGATTAATTCGTTTTTACTGAAGGGTAGTGACCTTTCTCCATTGACAACAACAAAGATCACAACCATGTCGACATTGTCGGCAAGCAGTACTAGCAACAATGTGATGAAATATATGAGTCCGTTTTCTGTAACGATTAAAACCTCAAGTCCTACCCCGATTCCGAAAATTAAAGTTTCTACATCGACAACTACCAAAGCGCCATTTTCGTTTTTAAATTTCGTTACATCAACGCTAGCTACCACATCAGCGACAACAACAACACCAGCTCCAAAAACCATGGCGACAATGCCAACATCTAAACCGGTCATGTTATTCAACATGGACGTCAACAGTCCGACGCACATGTCGTTTCCAATAGTTTCATCGACAACCCGAAAACCAACGCAGTATCTGAAAAAGAAACCATTACAGAAATGACTGCGTTCAACGACAAAATCTCCTACCAGTGAAGAATCTGTATCAGAATCCTTGCTAAAAACCTACGTCGCTGGAACATCAGCGCCATCTGGTGGACTCGAAACAACCACAATATCTTCATACATTCCTCCAAAAATAGTTTCCACAGATTTTTCGCAGATTCGGCAAATCTATCCAGAAATTCCTACTACGTACCGCCCCGAAATTGTGATGATAGATCCAGACAACGAATCTATTCTAGAAGGTGGTGACCGTACGAAGTCCACACCTATGGCAAAGGTAATGACCCAATTCAAAATCGAACCCGCTATTGAAGAAGCTTCGACGACTAAGCCAATCATGTATCAGATTGTAGGAAATGTTGGACAAATCCAAAACCAACAAACCGTCCCATCCTACCAATACCATCCAATCATCGCAAATTCCCCACCAAGATATCACCGCCAACAACAATTTTACCAATCGACACCCGCATTTTTTCGAATGGCGCCACCTCCAGCGCAACAACAAACTGTTATCTCAACCAGTACCACATCACCCCAAGTCGCGGTTCCGTTCAACTTTAATTTCCCCGAGAGCGAATTAGAAATCCCAGATTTCGATAGATTCACGCGCCATCATCAAAATCAAAATGGAAACCGCTATCTTGAAAAACCAATCAAAATTCATACTCACCAACATCCCGGGAAAGTTGTGAGACGTGTCCCAAAACCAAGTTTGAGTCAGAGTCAGAGTCAAATCCAGGCCAAAATTATGGCCGGATTGAGACGCTTCATTCCAGGTGGGTCAAGTCAACAGAGCCAAGGTCAACAAACTCGAGGTCAAGGGGGTCAACAAGGTCAAAGTTTGATCCAACCAGCGAAGGCTGTCTATCACGGTGAAGACAGCGTAGGAGCGGGAAGTGACCATAATTACGAATCCTTTGGCCGTGTAATTTTCAATAAATTGCGTGAACGAAGAAACCACAACCAGTGGAGGAGGTATCAACAAATTAGCCAGAAACCTGTACAGCTTAAACAACAAGCAATGATAACTGGTTATCACACAATTCCACAAAATAGTTATTAATCAATTCCAATGCTAATTATAATACTGGTAGTTTTTGACGTACTGAAATTGTTAATATTTTTTTACCATTAGTTATTAAGATGTTGTTGACTTGTTTTATATTTTACGTTATCGTTAAATTTGTATTTTTTAAACTATTCTAGAATCCTGTATTTCACAAAAGATTTAGATATTAATCCTAAGATTTCTTCCAAAGTAAATCACGAGATTTTCAGAGTAATTTCTGAAATGATAAATATAAGTTTTAAGTTGAATGTGTGTTAACTAGTCGAGTATCTTATGTCCTACTTGGTCACAGATCTTGTTCGAAATGCATATGATTTTTTATATTGTGCATCTACGTAATATTTTTTTTACAGATTTGGCATGTTGTATGGAGGCGAAGATAACAACACATATTTAAACTTTTTCGAATTTTCTTTTCATATGCATACATTATTGCAAGTAACGCTATGCAAGTAATCTTCAAATAATATTTATGAATATTTTTATCCATTATGTACAGTTCGTCATACGTAGTAAAGTAGGTTTAAAAATAAATACTAAAAAATATGTGAATTTCCGCAGAGTTATCTGCAGAATTTTGTTTTGACTGTATTTTCTTCAAGAAATATATATATTGGTGTTCATTCTTTGCACAAAATTAAATAATACTTTACCATAATATAGTTTGCAACTGGCTAGTACAAAACCTCAACAAAGTCCAAAATAATTTTTTGAACATAAATTTAAGGGCATTAATGAATGGAAACCTATCAGTACAACTTAGGATTAGCGGAGCCCAACCCATACTTTCTTTATATTCTCTTTACATTCCAATTTATATTCTTTCTTTAGAACTCATTAACAACACATGCACCAAATTTCAGCTCGATACGACGATTTAAAAAAATTGGTATGGTTACTCCATAGGATCCTTACAGATGAAATTTTTACAATTGTCACCTCTCAATCAATCACTGGAAGCCATTAGCAACTTTCATGCAAACTGTAAGCTCCATTGGGTGATTTAAAGAATCAGATTGGGTCCCCTCAATTGAAATTTTTTACAATTCTACTTCATAATCCCTCATTATAAACCTGTGTCAATTCTCGATGAAAAATTTCAGCTCTATTGGACGATTCTTAAAAATCGGGATGGATCATCCTATAGGAGCTCTCCAGATTAAGATTTTTAATTTCCTTTTCACACTCGTAATAGAAAAGAATACCCGAAAACTATGGTGTTCAATGTAAATATTAAAACTGTTGCCTAATTAAATTATTAATGTTAAATGAGAGCTTGCAAGTTTTTTATTTGACCACTCCAAAATTTCCTTGAAAGCCGTATAACAAGTGAACCGTAGAAAGTAAAATGCTTACTTAAATAATTAACTCAAACTTACATATGTAGTATTACTTACTTAAATACTATCTCAATGTTTTGCTTTTCCCGAATAAAAGAATCTGAAAGGCAGTGATCGAACTTCATGAGTAACTTCAAAGCCAAAATAAATGATGACTGCAACATGTCCTATTTCCAAAATTTGTCTTACAATTTTCTGCATATTCTGAAGATTGGATAAGCCAAAAATCAGAAATAGGACATGTTGCAGTCATCATTTATTTTACGATAAACCACCACTACTTTTGCCATAATTATCCTATTCAATAGAATTTATGATGAATTCTGCATGAATTGTTGTTAGAGGTAACCACACATACTCACTTGAGCGTGAGACAGGGCTTGTGTATTCGTGACACTGTCTGTCTGTCTGCGTTGTGATAGCTTCATAACGCGTTGACCGATTTGAATAAAATTCGGTAAGAAGATGCATTTTATAAATACAATGACAAAATTCAAAAATGACTTTGGTCAAAAAGATTTTGACCTATTCAGGCTCATCCACAAAGTATGCATTACACAAATTCTGCGTAATTTTTTCATCTGTTTGTTCCAAAATATTTTTGAATATCTCAGTATATCTTTAAATTGGAAAACCTTTCATTTTGAGAGACCCTGTGGGGTGACCCACACCGATTTTTAGCCCGACCCAGGGCTTATGTACCCGTCATGGCCGTCTGTCTGTCTGTCTGTCCGTCTTGCGATAACTCTCTTCAAACTTATCCGATCGACTTGAAATTTGGCACACACTTAAAACGTGCCAAATTAGGAATCAAGTTCGAAGATGGGCATGATCGGTCCAGTGGTTGACCAGTAGGGGTGATTTTAGTGGTGTGGGTCCATGGTGCAGAAAATACAAAATAGTCCTAGAAGGCTGAAATTTGGCGTGAAGGTAGTTAATGGCTAGTAATGAAATAATATGAAGTGAAATTGACAAAACTTTTATCTGGAGGGACCCTAGTGGGTGACCCATACCGATTTCTGAAAATCGTTCTATCAAGCTGAAATTTGACATGGAGGTCACTAATGACAACTAGTGGTAGAATATAACTTTAAATTGGAGAAAAATTCATTTTGAGAGACCCTATGGGATGAGCCACACCGATTTTTCGAAGTCATAGGATCTTGATGAAATTTGGTACATACAATGCTAATGACTTCTAGTGAAAGAGTATGAAGTGAAATTGACAAAATTTTCATCTGGAGGAACCCTAGTGGGTGACCCATACCGATTGCATAAAATCGTCCAATTGAGCTGAAATTCGGCATGACGGTTTCAATGAAGTTGTAAACTAGTAATACGATGTCAAACTACTGAATTTTTTAGTCGTTGCATAAAAATCCCTGGGTAGGGCTCCTCAAAGCTGTACTGATAGGTTTTCGAAATGATAGGATCTAGACGAAAGAATACATACGACCTTCCCCCCCATTTTCGGCCCCTTAGAGACCATTACCAGCAAAAATCTCTGGCCCTTGTATTTTTGACTATTTCAACATAATTATGCATGGTAACTTGGGCACTTTTTACGAAAAAAATTAAATGCAAGTTTTCACAACTTGATTTTTGAGAATATTTCTTTGATAAAATGTGGAAAACTCTATGGTAAAAACTAGTAAAAATTCGACATTTCTCTTGACAAATTCTGGAATTCTTCCTATACCAATCAATATTAAAAAGTGGTGTATTTGGAATTTTTTGTCAAAACTCATAATTGGAAACTGGTTGTTATGTCAAACCATGAAAACCCCCACGGGATTTTTGTTATACCACCTAAAGTTTCATCCGCACCTTTTTACATTTTTTTTATTGTGAAGTAATTGAGTGATTACATATATGGTGTAAATATGCATCAGGTGCGGATGAAACTTTTCATACAATAAATTATCAAACTTGTGCATTTTTTAGCCACGTAGCAAATCATTTCCATAGATATTCTTTTGTACATACAATGCTAATGGCTTCTAGTGAAAGAGTATGAAGTGAAATTGACAAAATTTTCATCACTTTGTGAAGTGATCACTTTAAATTGAAAAAAATTCACTTTGTGGATCCCTATATAAGGGGCGACGCATACCGATTTCATAAAATCGTCCAATTTACCTGAAATTTGGTATGACGGTTTCAATGAAGCTGCAAACTAGTAATAAGATGTCAAACTACAGTGTTTTTCAGTCGTTGTATAAAAATACCTGGGTCGGGCTCCGCAAAGTTGTACTGATAGGTTTTTAATTTTGGAAATGCCTACTGGCTGAAATATTCAAAAGATTTTGGAAAAAATGTGGAAACATTATGGCGAATTTGTATAATTTATGTTTATTACTTGCTGCAGTTCAATTTTGCTCATTTTTGTAGAAATATGAACAACTGTAATTCACTCAGTTAAAATTCGTTGAATGACATGACTCCTGAGTCGGGCTAAACGAAGTTCAATTTTGGATGTAGATTTTCTATTTTGTTACCACACAACCAAAATTCTTAATTAATTTTTCATCTAATAATGGGGCCCTGCATTTTTTATGATAAACAATGGAAAGTGGCCCCCAGTTACCAGTAAATTCGATCACTGTCTTTATCCAAGATCTCGCTTTACCTCCAAGATAATTTTCTCTTAATTTATTTCCTGATACGTGGTTATTATTCTAAAACTGCGTATTTAGACTTATCTTCTAGTCAAGATTTACTACTCCAATCTTGAATGATAACCGATCACACTTGGAAAATCTACGTTATCTATTTGTTTTTTAACACATCATTTCTTTCGCTAAAAGATTATAATTTAGCTATTTAATCAACGTATTTTCCATATTTTTTCAATTTATCTGACTTACTGTTCATCTCATCAATTTTTATTCGGTGGCGGAACAGTGTTTTGTTAATCGCTTATCTCAACAATACAACATTCTTCTCGAATCTGGCGGGGTCCGCTATAATTTGTGCCAGGTTTTGCATGTGCAATTGTCAGTCATTAATAGGTACATTTTACTATTTTTTAAAAATTATTCGTTAACATATTAATTAACTACTTAATACTTACGAGATTAATCATTAAATTATGGAATTACCCCCATTCGGCAATAATTGTCATAAAAATGGTTACGGTTTTAAATAAAAATTCCCAAATATAAATTTGAAGAAAGTATACTTTCTTAAATATTTAACAAATTATTCAAATAAAATTTTCTAATTTACTTCTCCAACTTATTGGAAAGATTTATACCATTATGAAGGTATAACGACTAATGCATTAGGCGTTAAAATATATATTACAAAACCAAAATAAATGAATCTCTATTTCTCAAAAGTAAATCTATATCTTACCAAAATAATTTTGCGACGTGTAACTTCCATTGTTCCATTGTTCCATTGTTCCATTCCATTGTTTTTACAAAAAAATTTGAATTTTTTTGTTTACCAAAATTAATTCATCCCAATATTAAAATAATTTAAGTTTGTTATCCCCAGGTTATAATGTCGAGCAAAAAAAAGCGTGACCCTTCTCCCAACTCCGCGTAAGAGAAAATTAATTTACATAAAACGTTTACAAAAGCATGATTCGAAAAATTAATCGGGGTTTCAAGTCACGTTACTTAATTGCATATATTATTGTGAACTACACTCTCCGAAGTGTGGTAATGATTTCCTAATGACCCTCATTACCGTTCTGTTGGTAAATATGAATTATACCAAAAGCGGTAATTATTTAGTTACCGAAATTCATTACTGCTTATTTTGTTTAATTCAATATAAATTGGTAAGATTGTTTAAACTAATCGTGGTAATCCTAAAATACCATGCGATGTAAATTAGTTATTGGAAAAGAGAAGATGAGCAGTACCGCACCGTAGTAATGAGCGTCAACACAAACTTGGTGTTCTTACTCTACTACTTTGGTAAGTTGTACTTACTGCTGCAGTGATACATAAAGACGCGCATTATTTAAGTTCAACCAGCCCGTGAAAGTTAACGAATATTTCACTCCTTTGGAAAATTATTGTACTTTTGACGAATTTACAAAAGGTAAGGTAATAATTCAATTAATTAATTACTCACATGAATTTCCTATCATTCATTCAATTTTAAGAGCTTTGTCATTTGTTTACAGGGAAGAGAGTAGCTGATTTCGTCCAGATTTTTATTGACGATGACCAAGATGAGAAGAATTTAGAGGTGCTTGTTTGGTAAGCAGTTTATTTATATCTTCTGAGCATTAGATGCACACACACTGTATGCATCTAATTTTTATATTTATGTTAATTAATTATTTTTCAGTGTAAGGCTCATTTTTCTCATCGGCGACACCAGCATCATAATTATTATCCGTCGCCCGCAGCATCAAGTGTTAAACAGGTAAATTAATTACACACGTAATCATTAATATATAGTTAGTAAAAAGAATACTTTCAGTTAGTAAATTGTTTGTAAATATTAAGTGTATTCTAGTAATAATTTTTAGTAAATAATAATTATATACAGTAAGTAATTAGTTAAAATTTTGATGCTGTCAGTTTTATGTATACATACTTTGTGAATATTTGAAATGAATCTTTAAAGTTTACTTGCACATATGTAAGTATTTGTAGAATTTATTGTAAACATTGTAAATGTAGTAAATCCCTAATAATATTTAAATTACCGTAATGATAAAAATCAATAAAAACCAGTAATGAAACAATATTGCACTGTGTTGATTATTTACCGAACCAGTAGTAATAACATTACTGAGCTGGGTTATTTCATTACCGCATATAATATTGATTAATACTGCGCAATGTTGATCTTAATATGACAAAGTAACAAAATAACCCCGTGTTGGTAATGATGTCGTTGAACAATACGCGGTAACTAAACCATTACCAAACCAGTAGAGTCATATATAGACTACACGGGGTAATGATTCCGGTAACCAAATTTCGGAGAGTGTACATATCAATTATTTAGTTCATAACCTTTTGTAAGTTTTGATAAAATCTCCGCAAATTTTTACTGCGAAGCCATTTGTATTTTTAAATAATTCTGCACATCCAGTTTGTTAATAGATCACAATACTCCAGTCCATTTTTTCCCACGTTAAATATGCTAGAGAATCAGAAATACTTTTTTATAGAGTATTAGATTAATTCGTGAAAAATGATTTACTTCAATAAATTCTATGTAAAAGCTTGCGGAAAATTTCTAAAATAAATAATACTAGAATAAATGATAGTTAAATATATTCTAAGAACATTATTCTTACGCAATTTAGTGATCCACCTGGTTTTCCGGTCGTACCATTGGTGGGTTCCTCGATTCTTAACTTATTTACGCGGAAATCCAGAAGATTTCAATAATCGGGGGAGAATTACGGGTGATCCATCCTGGAAATATGACAATGTTTTGAAAATTTCCAGAAAGCGGAGGACCTGGTGGCGAATTCGACAGATCGTGAGTTTATTTACTAATGTTGAAATCTAAACTATTGCCAATACACACTCACAGAAAGTGGGTGACGATTTTCACCATATTAAGACGCAAATGACACTACCGGATTTATGGTAAGCTTAACACCGTTGCTGCTAAATTCGTCAGAAGCAGTCATAAACTTCATCACCAATCTGGTAGAGTCTTAATATGCTGAAAATCGTCATCCAATTTCTGTTATAGCACATATGTAGATTACACTTGGCAATTTATAGCATATCTACGAAATTTTTTTGGCATGCATTTCCACAATTAAATATTTGGGGAGCATTCGTTCAAGAAAATTAGCAAAAACCTTATGTATTTTAAAATTTATAATTCAATATTTTTTTCAATCTCAGTTATTTGTAAGCCGAACAAGATAAAACTTTATCTGCTCTAATTATTTATCTAGTCATTTTCAAATTTTATGAAGTTTGGCATGAAAATTAAGAAAAAATATTGCCAATAACATTTCAGTATGGGTGTCCCACTAGGGTCCCTCAAAAAAAATTGTCGTAATTTTACTTCATATTCTCTTTCTTTAGAAGCCATTAGTTACCTATGTACTAAATTTCAGCTTTCTACGACTATTTTGAAATTTCTGGGTATAAGACCCCCACCACCTAAATGGCTCCCACCGGCCAACCAGTGGACCGATTTGGCTCATCTTCGAACTTGATTCCTAACTTTGTCCAATATACATATGGTGAAAATTTCAAGTCGATAGGTTCAGCCGTTTTGGCTCTATCGTGATGACGAACGTGACGGTTGCATAAGCACCGCTACCACTATCCTCAGCGGTAGTGCCTATCGCAGGCGAGTTAGTAAGAGAGAGAGAGGTTATACATACATGTGCATAGCGTTCGCCACAGCGAACGCTCCTTTTATAGTGAAGGTGCGGGTATCTCACCCGCAATAAGTACGGTTGGCCTTCACGGTCAACCAGATTGAACCAGTCTCTGGCTCAGGCCAGTCTGTCTAATTAAATTAATCAAGGCGGCGCTGGGGAATTTGCGTAGAGTAAGCTCTTAGCCTTACATTCATACTGTGATTGATATTATTTGAAGACCATGAAATTCAAATACTTTAGTAAAATTTGAATAATTTAGCTATTTGCTAGTAAAGTTTAATATTGCAGGAATCAAGTACTAGGTAAATATCAGGAAATATTTACCAGGTTGCATATATTTCATTACTATTACCGAAACGAGACATTACCAAACAATAAATTGTTTCCTTAGAATTTACTTAGATTTGACAAATTCAGTTATTTGTTCGAAATTCTTGTGTTTTTTTCTGCATATTTTGTAACTTGGGAGTAATAAGTTACAAGGTATTATTACGAAATTGTACGTATTATCTTACAGATTATTTATAAAATGTGACCGTGGTAGATGTGGTAGATGTTTACGTTTGCTCCCCCTTCGTACATTATACAACGATTGGAAATCTATTTAAAAGAAAACTTGGAGAAATAACAGAATTTTGACTCCAATAGTAAAATTTCCAAATATTACGTCACCCTAATTCGGACATAGGTAAGTATTCGGACCAATGGGATAATGCAGTATCATTTACAATTTAGGTAATTTAGTTTACCAAACACTTGATGAGCAGCATTACACTTGAGAATAGTTCAGGTGCGACACAAGATTAGTGTTAAGCTACATCAAATATAACTTATCTAATTATTCTCAAACTTTACTACTTGCACAAATCAAAAATCTCACATAAATATTTTATCCCTAAATTAATTCATGTGGAAACAATATAAGCAACCTCGCTGTCCCCCAGACATACGAAGATGCCACATTTAGCACTGTTTTCGTATTCATGACATAAAACTGGCCAACATTGAGGATCAGTGGTTTAAACGATTTTTTCTCCCTGTTCCAACTTTTTTTCTCGAAACCCGAATTACCCCTTAGGTTACGAAAAGAACGCAAAACTTGGCCACTAAATGTATTCGTCAATCCCGCCATGGCCACAATTCCGAGCCAGGAACCTCCAAAAAGTGCGGAGAACCCGATAATCAAAGGAAAATCTAGGATCGAAATTTCATTACGATATCTAATAACGAGAAAATTGCAAAACTGAACGGATCGAATAATCAACATCTGAGCAGGCATCAGAAACGAGCGGAACCAAGTGTTCGCCCCGACCCACAAGATGGAGACACTGGTGAAGACAAGTTTAATATTTTTAGAGGTTCGAAGATATCCGTGAGTCCGATACTTTCCACGGGGGGTTGAAAACAATCTGAAAGATAATAACAAACATTTCGAAATTGATAATTTATATTTACGATTGCGCGGTAGATTCAAACTTAAAATTGGATTTTCTGCTTGGAGCGCCACCTAGTGGAGGTATTTTGTATTTAAATAATAGAAAAATTCACTAAAATTAAAAATAAAAAAATTCACGTTTAAAATGAAAAATTTAGTTGACTAACATTTAATTTCACAACAAAATTCAAATTTCATATTCGGACCAATCGGACTGAATATGTGTGAGAATTTTATATTTCGAATACGAAAGTCACCTGATCTCGTTTAGCACTCCGAACAATATGGTCGCAAAAATTATTATCATTCCCAGCAGGGAGACGAGACCTCCCCCAACCGCAAGAATGAACCCGCTTGCTAAACAGGCTTGTCCTAGGATAAATCCTCTGTGACGAAACTCTTCCGGCAAATTTACTAAAAACAGAATCGGCTCGTATGGAAATGTCATGGCGAAAGCGAAAGTTGCCAAACCGTAAAATTTCGCAAGAATTAGTAACATTCTTAAAAATATAGTCAGGTTTCTAACAATGCCGGGAAATCGGGTGGAACCATATTTTATAAAATTATCTGTAAACAATTTAATTGATAAGCCAATTAATACAAAGAATGATATTGTCCTTAATAGTTTAGCAATAATCATTACTTTAGATAACTCTCATACTGTTCCAGATCGTTTATAAATTTTTCAAAAAATACTAGGCCAGATACTATCTGTAATACCATTTTCTCTGCAAATGATTACCGCCGTGGCAGAGCATCAGAGTGATTCCAAATCATAATGATAATTACTACATTATATTTAGTGACCGAAATTTTTACCTGAAAACCACACATCAAATTTTAACGCGGAATTAATCCACGCCGGAATTTCGTCTTCTCTTATGGTAAGCAACACCATAACTAGCAGTGGTACCTGTCCCCCAATAAAGCTTAGGAAACATCGTGTATACCAGTAGATCGGTTTTTGTTCAAAAATTCCGAAAATAACCACTTGGATCAGTAAATACGAAAGAAATACGAGCCATCCATACACAACTATCGCAAATCTTCCCAACCCAAAGAAACTCTTTGTGGTTCGAATCCGGCGCCGTTTTCCGTTCCAAATAAATTGGGACCCACCCCATAATTTTGTCCAGGACATGACTGCAGCGAAAGTTGAAATAGTTTTGGGGGGAATGAGAGATTGTCGCATACTTTCCATAACTTGGTAACAATTACTACCGTAGTCGGTACTATCTCTTCACCTAGGGTATCGTTTACAGTGACAATTGCACAAGGCGCTGTAACTAATTTTCTCAAGTAATCGTGATGTTCGTATTACTAGATAATTAGGGCAGGATTTAGCTTGTCAGTTTATGCTAGCATTATATGACAAATTTGTACCGAAACTATAGAATCTTCTTGACTAAAAATTATTGTGTTCATGTTCACGGCTGTCTTTGTAGTGAATTAAAATTGATTCTGACGTATCTGAGTAACGTAATGTATTTACAAGTAGAGGTATGACATTCAAAAATATTAAAAACGAATTATTGTCCAAATCCTAGTTACAGATATACTGAAACTAAATTGCGATTATTCTGATTACAAGAATATTAAATTGGTTATGCGGAAATGTATGAAATTGATTACTGTTAGGAGCACTCATAACAAATGTGATTAGTGCGCGTAGTTTAAGGCCATGGCATATAATAATAGATAGTTGACCAATCCTTGATTAAATTTAGTCAGCTATGTAAAAGTATTATTTTGTAGTACCTTTATGATAAATCCAGCCAAAATATGCAGCATATTGAGGAAACTAGATTAATACTTGTCAAATAATAATAATCATCAAATGTTAAGAGAACAAATTATCTATTTCAAAAACATCTCGAGTATTCATTGCCACTTAATTGCTAAAGTTTTGAATATGTGTATCATTAATAAATTTAATGATGTATGTGTAATTAAAACGACTATTATTTACTAAACTTTATTCTGTCATGAGTCAAGCATTATGAATAGATACGGATAAAATATCTGAGACATGTTCGTATGGCAGATTTGTGGATAATGACTATTATCTCTTTCAAAAGCTACACTAATTACATCCAGGTCTGAATTAATGGACTTTTTACACTCCTTAAATAAATGCGCTGACAATAAGCAGGTAAAATTACAAGGCGTTCACACTATCGTACTTTAACGCATCGTAATAAATGTGTTACCAATATGGGGTAAATTGATTACCAAATTAAAAAAAATATGATTACTTGAATTAAAATTACACTTTCAATTTTCGAATTACTTGCACCGAAACTTTGCGAGAGAGTTCATTTAGTTTACTTTTGTGGGTACAGTAAATCATATCACAATTAGATTTAAATAAATAATCAAGTATTAAAGCGAATAATTTAGGTTATCTAATTTAGAGGTAGATTTCGTTATAGATTATGTAAATACTAATCCCTAGAGATACAGAAAATCATTAAATTTGGAACAATTGCATTACCCGTATTTAAAATTGTGTTCTCTAAACTATACAGAAATCTTTCATGATTAATAAACAAGCTTTACTTACTGTTGAGCTTATATCAGACAAATGCATATGATTAAACTAAATAATTCAACATGTGTAATAGTTAAGGTAAAAGCGGCCAGGCTAATGTTCAAACGAGTTATTCCAACTACTGGAACGTTCATTTCATGTTTGTAATTTTCGAAGGATATTTAACTTGTTGAACAATTGGTTACAAATATAAATTTAAGATGAAAGCGTTGCCACGGACAGTTTGGGAAGCACTCGATGTACTTGAGCGACTGGAGGGCCACTTGTGGAAATCACCAAGTAATTGGAACTCTCAAACACAAAGATTTGAATACACTGCGCCATCCCCGTACAATCAGATTGGATGGAAATTCGCCTTTCTGTGCTCGGTTTTTGAAGTCGTAGCTTGTGGCTTGCTTGTGACACTGCAGCTGTACGGGATCATTTATATGTCCATATTCTACCTCCTAATAGTCGTAGTATCCGGGCAACTCGTAGCATTGTCCATCGCTTTGGAACTGGGCAGTATATATTGGACCACAACGATTTCAGTGGTACTGCATGAAATGAAGAATGCAGAAGAAATCTCCAGCAAATGTAGGATCAAGAAATACATATTTATGCTAGTTATTTATGCTACATTATGAGCCGACTTTGAATTTTTCTTGAAATAGGTTCATCTTCAAGGAGTAGGATGGATGCATTGGCTCTGACGTTTATATTCCACTTTTCTGTTGTACTACCATATCTCGTAATCCCTGCAGGTGTATACTTGCAACTGGACCCATACTCACAAATCCTACGGCATATGTTTACGAATTCGTTAATAACAATCAACCAATCAATTACTTTCCGGTTTTTCCAAGTAACGATAATCTACATAAACGCCGTAGTTTGTTGTATATTTTGTTGCCGCGCGCTTTCCAGATGCTTTGGAGCTGGGACGGTTTATATACACCTCCTAAGTAATTCTATTTTAAACGTTTCACGTTATTTTAAGGGCTGGAAGAGCAATCAAGAAAGAAGTTTTTGGAAGTTGTTCAGAAATATACTTGCATGAATGTGGTTCACACAGCTATGGATCAACTTTCGACAACCTGGGTTTTCTAAGGATAATATTCTTTAAAATGTCAGATTACACTGAATCAAAAATGTTACAAATTTATTCAATTTCTCCGAAGAACTCAGGAGGAGGGGCCGGGGTATGGAGACTGGCAAATCAATCCGAAACCGCTACCAAGTTCAAGCCCATGATACGTTGGCCCTGCCTGTTAATTATTAGGATTCGCTGGTCACTTGTTTATTGACCTTTGACCTCAAAATAATTAATAAAATATTTTTTACTTCAACGCCCTAAAGTAAATATAATTTTATTTAACAATAGTTTAAACGTTAATATTAATATATTGCTTTCAAAAAATAAATTTTCGCCGTTGAAGTAAAAAATATTTTATTAATTATTTTGAGGTCAAAGGTCAATATTTCGGAAACGGGTGGCCAGCGAATCCTAATAATTAACAGGCAGGGCTAACTTATCATGGGCTTCAACTTGGTAGCGGTTTTGGATTGATTTGCCAGTCTCCATACCCCGGCCCCTCCTCCTCAGTATGGCATTCAAATTTCCTCCAGATTACTAACAATGTGGGCTTGTCAGCGTTTATGCTCGTATTTTAATTTATTCACCACAGAAAATAAGCTGACCAATATTTTTGTAATATAGTTTCCTATTGCAAATATATAAATATTCAGAAACATATATATATATATATATGGTTCATATATGTCGAGTTGTTACCACATGAATATTACAGCGCGATGTCAATGAATTATGTGTGTAATGCCCTGCGTCTTTAAATTGACACCAACTTTGTGTATAAAACCATTACATGGTACGTCTTGATGTAGGGTCGGGGAGTATTAGTGTGGACACTTTTTTGAATATCAAAATTACTAAATGCAATAGAAACAGTTGTTTGTTAAAAATAATTATTTTGAAATTTTTTTACGATTAATCAACGATTTAAGATTATTTCGCGAAAAGAAAATTTTGGAAAATATCATTGGAAATAATAGATATTAATTTTTGAAAATATAAAAACAGGTGTCCACACTAATCTCACCATGTGGGGTTAGTGTGAACACTCTAACTTGTTAACATGGGGATTCCACTGTCCACACTAACCCCTTTTCAAAAAATGATTTTAAAATTGAAAAATTTTCCAAGAATTTATTTGGGATGAAAGCGATTTTTGTATATTTTCATATTCATAAGTCAGAACAAGAAGGAGTGGACGTATGATGTGAACTTTTTGACTTTGAAAAAATATGATATTTTCCCATCGAAAACGTCACTGTCGACAATTGCCTCGTGTCCACACTAATACGCCCCGACCCTAATTTATTTATGGACGATCCCTTTGTTGTAGTTCTACAAAAATGGAAAATATGCAATTTAAAAAAATTTGCATGTTTCTTCCCAATATTGTTTTTAAACTTACGGGGTTGGAGGCAGTACCCCCCGAAACCTATCATACAATTGAAAATTATTTTTAGATAGTTTAGTAATATTGAACATTTTTCTTTTCATTTTGGATGCATTGCATCAATAAGATCGTTCTCAACAACATGTAGAATTGGTCATGTTCAGATTATCTTGTATCCCTAAAAATGTCGTCTGAAAAATTATTTTCCCATGAATGGATACTTTTTTCTTTTTACAAGCTCCTACATTATTATGTTTACAAAATATAGGTGTTGCAGAGCAGGATCTTACAGATATAATGAAGCCAAAATTTCTAAAATAGGTTTCTTATTTAAGAAGTTTAATTATTTTTTAGGGCAAAGTTTAAAAAAAAATGCTTGCTGTGGCCTCCCAACATTAAAAATTGGTGAAATCGATTAATTTAGGACGACCCATGTAAAATAATAGTTTTTAATGATTAGTAAAATTAGGCAATATAATTAATCTTGTCAAGAACCTAATGCAAATTTAAACTTTAGGTAGGTGTCAATGGACAAAAATATCTCATATTATGTATTCGTACAAAAATCGTATGACTTGAATGACAAATTAAAAAAAGTAAAACATTTAATATTGATATAAACGTGTTAGTTGTAGTCGATGGCGCTCCCACAATTATGTTAAAGTGATCATTAATTACATGCAACATATTTTTTTCGAAAGTATAAACATCAAGTGGCTATAAACCCTTATTTCCACTTCAAATTTATTTCAAATTAAACTTGCGGTTTTTATCTTACAATTTGTAGAAATTAAATTAAATTGTTGTAAATTAGGTTAATTGCGAGAGAATTAATTGAGCAACCGAAACGTAACTGAAGCACAGCACGTGAAACCAATTAGTATACAGCATACTAAATGAATAAATAAGTATAAATGATTGTAAATTCCACGTATGTTAATGGTCAACCTAAACCTGTAATAAGTGATAGCACCTGGAAAAACCACAATGCAATAAAACAAAATGCATGACCTTATTTGATATCTCACTTAAAAAGCAGATAACTAGAAAAATGACATACATAGGTTTTGAATTAATAAATAAATTGATTATATTATAATAGATACATTGAGTATTTATTTGTTTGTTATTTATTTATTTAGTTATTTACTTGTTAATTGGAAACAATTAACGCTCCCACATCCTAATGTAAAAGCGATATAAAACGTCATTTTGTATATCATTTTTTATCAGTTGATGTAGAACTAAAAACTTGATAACGAACGATTGCAAAGTTGCCCATCATCATGAACTCTTCCAACTTGTTAACGCTATTGGTAACAATCTACTACTTCATCCAGTTAACACAATCGGGAACTATCTCAAGCGTGCTTTTGTCCAAAGTCAAGAGAAACGGCAAAGCGGACATCATACTTGAGCTTCCGTCCGTCTTTTCAAAAGTTATGAGCCATCCAACCTTGTCGTTCTTAAGTGGCGCTTCAAAAAGGGAATGCAATGGAGAACTTAATGAAGCAATTCACCACAGCATCCCAAGCACCTTTCATGTCAGCAATAAGAGAACTTGAATTAAAAGAATCAGCAACCCCATTTTGGATTTCAAACGATATCGGATTGAAGCCAATGACTTGAAAGCCATTCAAACTCTTGGCTCACTTCCAATTGGCGTTTTTAATATTCGTGAACAACTGATAGCCCGCGTAGAACCTGTGGATGCATCAGTAACTCCATCATCATCGCAGACTAGCGCAATTCCGGCTATTCAATGGGGAGGTGAAAATTTATCGTTAATCACTAAGGCAATTCATATATTTGTATTTTAATAGTTATTTATTTGAGGTTTTTAAATTTTAGTGGAAAAAATCGGTGCTCCTGCTGTCTGGGCGCGAACGAAGGGAGAAGGCATTGTGGTTGCCAATATTGATACTGGAGTTTTCGGGGGACATGAATCGTTGAGGGATAACTATGGAGGAAAATGGTATGATGCTACTGGAGAAAGTAATTTGACAACGCCAAACGATGGCAATCGTCACGGCACTTCTACAATGGGTAACGCAATCCGAGAGTTATACGTATTATAATTTCTGGTTTCTCATAATGTGCACGAAATGCGTTATCATTTTTCTTTTTTCTATCATTTTTCGCACTAACTTTAATAATCGTGGAAGAGAAACTAAGTATGTAGACACCTGTATGGACGTTTGTCGAATGAACCGTTTCTTCCTGCCGATATATTTAAGTGTTGGCCTGATGTATGCATTCGTTTTTAACAGATTTTTAAAATTAAAAGTATAACATTACCTGCAATATGTAGTATAATAGTTTGCAAATTTCGAAATCAGCCATATTTTCAGTTTCTTATGTCGAACATAAAATTTTCATAGGAATGCTTTGTGGTCGCCCCAAAGGAATTGGTGTTGCACCAAACGTTAAATGGATCGCCTGTAAAGCAATTGGAGCTAACGGCGGTGGATCTGAAGGAAACATGAAAAAATGTGCACAATGGATTTTTCAACAGCGACCTCACGTTGTCAGTAATAGTTGGGTTTTTGGCAGAGGAGCGACAAATTTCAATGATATCATTTCGAGTTGGAGGGCTGTGGGCATTATCCCCGTCTTTGCGATTGGTAACGAGGGAGATCGATGCAGGTCCGCAGGGTCACCCGGAGATCAGACGAATGTCATCTCTGTTGGGTCCACCAGAAGTAATGATACCTTATCTACGTTCAGTGCTCGTGGCTTTGCTGTGAACGGAGCAATTAAGCCGGAGGTTTGATGGAAGCAAACCATGAATTACTGCTAATAGTGGAAAAGTTTAAAGACAATTTGAACATCCCTTTTGCATAGGTGACTGCCCCTGGGGAGGAAATTTACACTGCATGGTACTCTCAAAATGATAAGCCTTATCTTTACTACGTAACTTCTGGAACGAGCAGTGCTACACCTCATGTTGCGGGTGCAATCGCCTTAATGCTATCGGCAAACCCATCATGGACATTTGACCAAGTTTTCAATGCTTTGACAAGAACGGCAGATCGCCCTCCAGTGGATGCCAAGGACCTAGCATGTGGAAACACAACCACATCAAATTATCCTAACAATGGTTATGGTTTCGGGCGAATTAATGTCCAAAGGGCTCTTGGAATGTAGCCTTACAACATATTTTCGATAACAATTTGAAAACGAATTTTACATATAAATGGTTTACGAATTCTATTGTAGACGACATGAATAATATATAGAAATTCATAATACTTACATATATATAGTATGAGTTTACAAGTATTTGTGTCCTTAGAATCGATTTTGTAGTACAACTGATTTTTAAAAGATTCCAAAATTAATTTTTGTTTTCTGTTGATTTACAATTGCAGATTTTGCGATGTCGGCGAAGCCGACTGAAGCAAAATCCTGATTTTGTGAATCTTCCGGAAACGGAAGACGTACCAGACTGAACCTTTACCAACTGTCTCCGTGACGTTGACGGAGACGGAAGATGAGATAAAATTATTTACATGTATCAGATTTAAAATTAAATAAATTCTTGAAATATGCATACATTTTTACCTAAACCTAAATCCTAACCTAAGAAACCTAATCTTCACAAAAGTTACAAGGTTCTGCATTTACTCAATATACAAGTTACGTGGTAAAACCGCGCCAAATCATCTTTTTTGTCAGTACTGATTTCAAATAGTGATATAAAAATTACATCTCTACTAGGTATGGGCCAAAATCTTGAGCGCATTTGAGTCTGACATGAAGAGGGCCTCTCCCCCTTAATGTTATCTTAAATCGTTTATTCACCTCACAATTAAAGAGATTAATTGATTGTATTTAGTTATATTAAACATGTAGATATTTGGGTTAATTCCCTAAATGGATGAAGTGTGGGTTTGCTTTGTGGTAGAATTCATAATTATTAACAACCAGCATAATCATTTACATGTCAACGGTAATATATATGCAGATGGTTTAATTTTCCGAGAAGATTAATTAGTTGGCATATTTAGTTTGTTTTATCTCGTATAGGGCGATCGGATTATGATGAGACCGGGTATAATGACCTGTAGAATTTGACCTGGTTAATGGATTTACTTAAAATTGGTAACAAATGTAGGTTGGTAAGTCACTAACTTACTTTTGGCTCGAGGGTTCTGCCTCACTCGCTTTTTGACTATTAATACGATTTTTTATTGCAACCCTGAAAAGATCGATTTTCCACTACATTCTGCACTGCAGAATCTGCAGTGTCCTTTCTTATTTTACTATAATACTAGGAACTTCCTAGTAGGAAGGAGGTGACAAATATTTATGTTTATTTAAAATTATTGTGTAACGATGGCAACCTGTTATATTTAGTAAATTATTGATTAAAACTAACATACATTTATTTATAGATTTAATGTTAAACATTATTTATTACTACTAGGCGTTAACCCGCGTAAAACACGGGATCTATTTTCATTTAATTATATATTTACTCCATGTTTACCATAGTTTCATATTGTTTTGTTGGATCACAAAAAAATTGATCGTAAATGTAAAATTCAAACTGTAAATGATTGTCTAACCGAATCTATTATCCCCCGTTTGCTGATATACAGATTTCCAACTTAAAATATCGCCTGACTGACTATAATAATGAAAAATAGTTACACGCATTTACTAAACTTTTTGTTAGCAATACAATACTTAAGAAATTTAATGAATTCAAAGTCAAATTCTTTTTTACACTGTTGAAAATCATTCATTTCATGACAACTTGGGATCTCGGGATGTCTGGCTGGATGTTTACATCCTGACATCTCGACATCCCAAGATGTCGAGATGTACAAAATTTTAATGTGGCTCATTATGATACGTTCAGTTTTATAGCAAATTAGCTTCGCGTGTATAATAAAAGCTAGTCTTCCAGGAAAAACCGCAAGCCAGATCGTAATTTGTATTTTCATTTGTTATATAAGTAAACGTAACCATAAAATTGTAAAATATTTAACTGAAAAACTGATCACCGCTTAAACTAACCTCAACTAATTTAATTAACAATGATTTTATCTTTTGTAGTTTTACTAGCAGCATTGAACGGCTACCAAATCCACGCTGGTAAGATTTCCAGTGGACTCCTGTCCAAGTTACAAAATGTGGAAAAGAGCGACGCCATATTTGAACTTCCCTCCGTCTTTGGGAAAGTAATGAGCAACCCGGCATTAAGTTTTTTAAGCGGATCTGCCAAATCTGACATGATGGAAACATTGATGAAGCAAACTACATCGGCATCCCAGGCTCTGTTTATGTCAGCCCTTAGTCGACTTGGTTTGGCGGAATCTGCAACACCATTCTGGATTTCAAACGACATAGCTTTAAAGAATGTGAACCTCAGCGTGAACCTACATCAGCGGTGAAATCTCTTGGAGCACTTCCTGGGACGTTTACGCTGCGAGAACCATACATAGCGACATTGGATCCTTGGACTGATGGAGATAAGAATGTTTTAAACCGTGAATCGTGTCAAGTTAGGGGACAATGGGGAGGTAAGTGTTCCAAGTATTGGTGAAGTATTTTACAAACTTTGTATATCAAACAAATTATGTACGTACCATCAAAATATTTAATCGACTTATTTTACCAAACCCCACAATGTATTTCAACATTTCTGATTTACACTTTAAAATGAAATATCGAGAGCAGCGGTGAATTTAAAATTAGTAATGCTTACTTAAGCCTAAAATAATTTTTTTGCTTAAGTCGAGAAAATACAGGCCCCTGCAGCCTGGTCAAAATCAAAAGGGGAGAACGTCGTTGTCGGAATAATCGATACTGGGGTATACCAGGTACACGAAGCAGTGCGCGGAGGTTATGCAGGCAAATGGTTGGACGCCACAGTTGATAAATCGCCATATCCTGTCGATCCTAACGGCCATGGAACGCACGCACTTGGTTTGACTTTTTTCCAATTAGTTTCCAATCATTAAGCATTTTTTTTTAGCTAGCCCTGATTTGCAGGAACCATAGTAGGACGCCCAAACCGCATCGGGGTCGCCCCAGCTGCTAAATGGATAGCCTGCAGAGCAATGGGTCCGGGCGGTGGAGCCCCAGAAAGTTGGGTGAAAACCTGTGGTCAATGGATTTTCCAGCAGAGACCTAGCGTTGTCAGCAACAGTTGGAATTTTTACGTTACAGGAACATTTTTCGACGATGTTATTAAAAGCTGGACCGCTGCAGGGATCATTGCTGTTTTTTCCAGTGGAAACAGTGGAGATGGTTGCCGCACTGCGGGATAGCCAGGAAATCATCCGGACGTTATATCTGTAGGCGCAACGAAGAAGGATGACACCATGGAGGCATACAGTAGCCGTGGTCCGTCACCGACTGGTGGACAAATTACGCCAAAGGTTAAATTAAATACAGAAAAACCCTTACTCAGAAAAATAAATATTTTTGTATTTCAATCTGGTACCACAGGTTTCCGCTCCAGGACGTGACATTATTTCTGCTGGGATCAGTAACAGTAGCACAGAATACGTTGGAAAGTCGGGAACGAGCATGGTTACCTTTTAAACTATTGACGTGATTGTCAACGGAAATCTAAAATTTTGAATTACCCAACAGGCGTGTCCCCATGTTGCTGGCGTGGTTGCCTTGCTAATTTCGGCAAACCCGACGTGGAAGTATGACAATTTTTTGACGGCCCTGGCAAGGACGGCGGATCGTTTGACGATTACCAGTAAGGATTTGTCATGTGGAAACATTACTACGCCGATCTACCCGAATAACGCGTGTGGGTATGGGAGAGTCAACGCCAAAAGAGCTCTCGAATTGTAATAGGTCGTGTGGAAGGCAATGAAAATTTGTTTGAAATTCATTTTCTTGCTAATAAAGGACTAAAATATAGCTATTGATCTTAACAAAATTCAACATGCATGTACATATTTGTTATCAAAATAAATTCAAAATATTTGTTGTGAAAATAAAACGCCTGAAATTTTCAAAATACCAGTGAGGAATTGACCTGGGTATTTGAGTTAGCGCTTATCGTTATGCATATATTTATTTGCTCGTAATGTTTATTTCTTAGTACATTGCGCTGAAAAGCTATTACAATAAAATCTATTATACCCTATACTTGTTTTAGTAATAGATATGAATTCAGTGATATTGTATATAATGCTATTGTAAAAATGTTTAATATTATTTAAGGGCGGAGGAGAACAAACCACATCACTCCTTGGTATTTTTCTCCATTGTTACCGGCCATGAGGTCTAATTACTTCGCAAAATCACTTTATGCCAAAGTTTGCACCCCATTCTTGGACATTAGAGTAGTCGATTTTGTCTCCAAGAAAGATAACCTCCAGATTTCCCCCAATATGGGCGAATCTATAAATTTTGTGATAATTGCAAACATGTGAGCTCTAATCTTCTGCCTTAGCTTAAAAATTTACAGGGATTCAAACGGCTTTGGAGGAAAATCAGCAAGGACATGTCAGAATAGATTGGAAAATCTAGTTTTATTAACGTAAATTGGCGACGCTAAAAAAGTGGAGATTGCATTAGATCACGTATTTTAAAAACTTTTTATTTTACCACTAGCATAAAACAACCTTAATTAATCTTACTTTATACTGAATCCATCGGCCCAATAATATAAAACGGGGACCAATTTCCCTAAGCTGATTACCTGAGGATGCATTCTCGATCAAGAAAACACCTCCAGCCACACCCAAAATGGAGATTAAAAGGATAAAAAGAGTGTTGACCCCAGTTTGTAAATTCAATCTTTTCACACGTTCCTAGTATTTGCCCGCTTTAAATCTTGTCTCCTTTATTTTTTTTGAAATTGGAGTTTTTCCGCGAATGTTTTATTTCTAAGGTAATTGTTTGAATAAAAATCATAAATTCCTGACTGAACAAAGGATTTTAAATATTTCACTAGTTTTGATTCTCTCAAATACTTAATACCCCATCCATGCATTTCTTCTAGACCAGGTTCCTCCCCGAGATAAATCTTTATGAAGGGATATTGTTTTTTAAGATGTTCATGATATCTGTTTAACTTCGACGTGTGGTGGACATAGACGGATTGTCCACAGTCTACAATTTCCTCTTCAATAGCGACTGTAATATTTATTCCAGGAATAACAGTTGTTTTTCCAATGTCATGTAAACTTTTGGGATAGAACCGCAACTTGGGACTGACAAAGTATGCGAGAATATGATAATATTTCTTTATATCAACGCCCATACGGAACCCACCATCGAGCGAATCCATAATTTTTCGCAACCAAGCATATTTCCATTTCTGATATATTTTAGCTTCATCCAGTCCTTCTCCGATGAATACCTTTGACAAAGTGCTGAATCCTTGGAAATCGGACAGGTTTGGACTATTGCTTGCGTTATAATTAACATCAATAATGGTATAAGTAAAATCGAACTGTTCTCTGACAGCACTTTTAGAATAATTCATAGAAGCATTCCCAGAAACGAGACTATCGAAGGATGTGAATCTCGTGGGTTCCGGCGGGACGTTCAAACCTCGCAGGATTAGGGTAACATAAACATTGCTTAGAATTGAGCTTAAGAGAATCTAAGGCCCTACCCCCAGACGAAATACGGAATGCCTCTCAAGTTTACTAGGAATCGAACTAGTTTCTTCTAGAAATGCTCCAATGAAGAAGAATAAACTGCTTTTTACAACTAGTTTTAAACTTCTTCTAACAAAGATATCGGTTAAAATGGTAAAAATAGTGAGGGCGACAAAAACAAATAACCAAACCTCGAGGTCGAAAGGATTCGTGTAAAATCTAAAAGATAGTTCTGATTCTGTGTAACAGGTTAAAAAATTCCAAGCCTCAATTCGTGAAATTATGGTATGATCCTCAGGATGTTCGCCCCTCCTAATAATTGGATAAGTTACCAAATATTGCATCTTAGCATGCTCCTCTCGTGACCTATTTCTTCCAATGTAGCCATGTTGTATACTGAGCCAATAGTTTTCACCTGTCGCTAACTGAAAAGCTTGGCAAATAAAGTGGGCAATTATATTAAATTCAAAGACAGGTCTGCCATAACTAAGATCGGTGAAATCTATTATGTCCAAGGTACTTTCTGGTAAAACGAAGAAAGTCTCCGTTAAGGGAAGGTCTTCCACTTGAAGAATGCTACAAACAAATTTAGTCCTTGATGGATATACCTTAACTACCGACTTAATACAAATGATTGGTGAATCTGGATGAAGTTGCGGGAAATTCAAATTCAAATTAGGGAGGTAGAGCAGCGCTAAACCATTTCCTCCAATATCCCTATTCCACTCAGGATCTCTACGTTTTACCTGGAAGTTGGTCTCTTTCATGGGATCCTGTCTAGCTAGAAAGAGAATAAACACCTTCTCTTGTGTATGAAGCCCGTTACCATTACCGTACCTCTCGGGTTTAGTGCCATTGCCTGACCAGTTATTTCCTACCAAGTATCGGAAATGATAAAAAAAACAACCAATGCCTTATTGCCATGACCAATTTGCCATTGCCCAGTTCGCCCATGACATAAAGAACGAGAAACTCGCAGATCCAACCTTTGTTTTGAAATATATTCAACTCATTATAACCATAGGAGAAAATGTCTTCCGAATTGATTGGAAGTTTAGAGAGTGTGACTGGGATTTCCTGGGTTGTGATGAGATTGTTTGTCTCCAATTGATCAAATACGAGATGGATTCGGCATTTTTGTTGAGGGCTAAGGAAATTATGGAGCAATGGATTGACTGAAGTTCCAAGTTTCAGAAATATTTCCTTTCCTCCATTCCCAACACAGTGAGTAACATTTTGTAGTAAGAGACTGACCAAGTAAAAGTATTTTACATTAGTAATTAGATAGAGTAGGGGGCAGAAGGATTTCATTGACATACTTGGAGTGAATCACTTTTAGTATTGGAATTATTGTTTTTGAATTATACTTCTCGCAATTCCGATTTGCTTTAGTATCAGGTTTTTTATGACGTAGAATTAGTTGCAGGGGAATTTATATCACTGAGACAAATGTGAGCAAATGTGAATTCCGTGACAGACACTGAAATGTGCATTCCGTGACAGAGACTGAAATGTGCCGACAAAGTTTATTTCTAGGTACACATTTGCATATTTATATAACTTGGCATTTTTTTACATAGCCATTCACCTGGAGCATCGTTCTCTCATATTTCCAAGGTGAAAGTATTTTATCTCCTCTCTGTGGGTGGCCCGAATTCTTAAACCTCACTTCCTTGAACTACTAGTCTCACAGGTCCCGTCTTACGGAGCTCCAGCCTCGACGAGTTTCAAACATCAGAAGTAGGCAGCGTTGCTTTCTTCTTTTCGTATTCAACCAAATTCCAACATCAATGTAGAAGCATATCTTCCAGGATACCTTTTTTCGAAAAGGAATTTCGAATTCCTGTCTCACTGCAACGCTTACCCCGTCAAATTGTAATTCACAGACAATTTGACCCACTGTAGACTATAGACAGATATTCGACCTGTATGTAAAATATTTAAAAGTGAAAGAAGAAAATTTAAAAAAATAGAGAAACTGTTTCATTAAATGACGAATCAAGCGGCAGACAGACAGACACGAGAGTTGCATTATATTTATATATGTTTATGTAAGCTCCTTCGCCATTTGCGTGACTCGTACTAAATGTTGGATAACAGCATTAAAAATCGATATTGGTGAGTGCGTGGAGGAATTTAAGAAAGAACAAGCATGTATTAGAAGCCATTGTATATAATGAAATATTTTGGCAGCAATTCATACATCCCATGTCAAATACGCTTTATTCCAGTGCTCTTGCGGACAATGATATTATTTCAGATACTGGTCTTGGATGCTTCCACTGTATCCAATCGAACCGGTTCTTCTATAAACGCACTCAAAAGGTATATAAAAAAGGAAAGCCAATTTCTCATTTCAAGACAAAATATGCCTTGTGAACATGCTGAAATTGATACCGGTTGGTATCAATTACCTTTAAACATTATTTACATACTTTTTTATTGATTGTTAATTTCCTTCATATTTTAAGAAAGCTACAGATGTAAGTAGTCCCTATATATAAAGGTAAAGGGAAATTATCTGATCCGGAAAACTATCGCCTTATACCTCTGCTTTTTTGAATATTGTGTAAACTTTAAATTAATCAAACATATCGAATCTAATAATTCACTCGATGAAAACCAGCATGGTTTCAGATCCCGTAGGTCGTGCCACAGCGCTTACCCTATTCACTAATAATGTATTCGGAGAGTTAGACAAACCCAGTTATACTATAATAGTGGTATTTTTGGTTTGGAAAGGTAGTCATTTCCATGAATGGTCACTTTGACACGAGATATTCGACATCAAACTGACGAAAATATGCTACCATGCAAAGAAAGTAATTCAATCGCTTTGGCAGCATTTAGTCCCTCAATTGTGCTGTCAATTGACATTATAAACAAAATTAATTTTGTTTTGCTTTATAATTGATGCACATACATATTTAAATGCATGAGAAACCAAATGCCCACGTAGGGAATTAAATTTTTACTAAAATTTCTCCGTGCATGATAATTAATTTTGTCACTTTGACGTCAAATATCTCTTGTAAGTTTTTTTTGCAAATTAGAAAAAATCCTGAGAGATTTATTTAATCACTAGCGATTCGAAATCATGATGAAAACTCCCAATGTAACATGTTAAGGTTGATACATCATTGTAAGAAGCTTTTTAACGTACAAACCTTATGGCGTACGGGTTTCTTATAATAATAATGGATCAACCATAGTTTGTAGAGAAATTACTTGTACACT